AGCAGAACATCTTGCCAGAGGGCACAACAGGTTCACCCCCAAGGGCAGCAGCAGGAAGCAGTTGAGCACAGCAGCCAGACTCAAGCCAGGCACAGCTGGATAAATCCAAACTTTGTAGATCTGCACCTGAACTTCTCTTCTTTTATAGTCACAGTTCTCTGCATCACTAAGCTTTAAGAAACCTAGTCACAAAGGCAGTACTATGCTAATGAGGTGAAAGACTGCATATTGCAGTGCAAGTAAGTAATGCAAGTCTCCCTGGTACAGAGAATGCTACCATTACACATCTGTTTCAATTCATCAGTTCAGAGCTTGGGCCCAACTACATTAAACAAATCATCACTACTGAAATATCTGCATAATTTTGAGGACATGTCCTCTACTGAAGGAAGCATATTTCCCTAAGGTTTACAAGGCATCTAATTTTTCTTAGCGCTACTCTACACAGTTTTAAGTAACAAAGATACTGGTTTCCTTAAAGATAAATGGCTTTGAACTAGAACTACAAATATTCCAATTCTCTCTTCAGATTTTGAATTTCTTATACAGTACAGATATGCTGAGGGCACTAGAAAATCAAAATCCAGCAGTGTCTTAAGAAAAGTGTCCACCATCCACTCATTTCCTAGGAAAGTTCCCTTTTTTCTTTTTTGCGGTGCTAGGGAATATGCCCAGGACCTCACATGTGCTAACCAACACTGTACCACTGAAGTGCATTATCAGTCCCTACATGAGTTTCTAAAACTATTTTAGAAGTTTGGTCTATTGCCATTACTAGTGCTAACAGGACAGAGATTTCACATCCCCCTGAGATACTATTTTTCTAGTGTTTCACCATCTTTGCTGTGTCTAATCAATGCTTCAAAATATATAAATTTTACTCTTTTATTCTTGGAAAAAGATCTAGGACAAGCTGAGCAATACAGCCTGGATGCAAAGACTCAAATACTAGCCTGCATTCCCCAATGTAACTGTGAGCTGTCTGGAGGATGCATTAAAATAGCTTTTTTCAAAGCTTTCTTCCAAACAAGCTAAGAGTGTAGCTTTGGCCTGAGATTAATTTACAAATTAAGTCCAAATCCAAGCATTCATACAGATTCAAAACATGGATCATTTAACAAATAAGCTATTTCCACAGTAGAACATTTACTATTTAAAGGTTCTGATCAAGGCCTTTCACTTAATTGTCCCATTCCATTAGCTGCTCTCACATGAAGTTTACAAATGCCAAATTTAGCTATTTTGCAAGAAAACTTCAAATATGAACTATAAATTGTAATTTGTCTGGCCAAAATATATACTCCAAAAAACCTTCTCAGAGTTAAATTCCAAACAATAACCCTACTATCTTCCCATGCCATTTAAAAATTAAAATGACAATCACATACATGTTTAATTGCTTAATTTCTCTTTCAAGGGAGAGAAATATTGGTCCAGATATTTAATCTCTATAAAAGTCCTCAGTTTAGAATGAAGAGTTTTGGTCTAACTTACACAAAAACATACTGAATGATCAGCATGTCCACGGTAATGTGTGATAGATATTATCTTTATATTAAGTCTCTAGTCTTATAAACCGTGCCTTCACAAAGTTAAATGAGCTAGCTGAGATTATTATTGTGGTAAGAAAACCCAAATTAGTTGTTTTTAGATGTAATACTTTATTAAAATAAGTTACCACTTCATTTTGCTGTTAAACTAACTTGTTATTTAAACAAGTTACCAGTTTCATTTTGCTGATTCTTTTCTTTCATTTTTTTTTTTTTTTTTGGTAGAACCAGGGATTGAACTCAGGCCCTTCGTGCTTGCCAGGCAAGCGCTTATTCTACTGAGCCATCTCCCCGGCCCCCTGATTCTTTTAAGTCCTGTATCAACAAGGCTCTTTATGAAATAATGTATGCAGTGTGATGGAAAAATACAGTGAATGCTTAAATTTAAAAATTCCAGTAAAACATTTTCTATAAATTCCCCTCAAAATACCCTTGGTTTGAAAACTTAACCCATTGTTCTTGCCACTTTCTGAAGCTATTTTGAAAGCCTTCTTCTGGCTTTGTCAATGTCCTGCATGGATTCAAAATGTTTGTCTTTGACAGTCAATTTGACATTAAGGAAGAGACAGAAGTTTCACCATGCTAGATCTGGTGAATAAGGTGAACAAGGACATATAGGAATTTTTTTTTTTTTTTTACAAGCCTGCCTATGAGAAGGCACTCAAGAGTAACATTCTCTGTATTTCTGATCATGGGACTTCCAGAACTGCTTTGGAAAGTGGCAAGAATGATGGGATCTGTTTGAAGCAAAATTCTGAGGGAGAATAGTGATAATGTATCTTTTACTATAATAACTTAAACAATTAAACATTTACTATATTTTGATCAATTGATGCAGTTTTACCTGTGATTTTACTTTTTTTTTTTTTTTTTGTGGTACTGGAGATTGAACTCAGGGCCTTGCGCTTGCCAGGCAAGTGCTTTTTTTTACCGACCTATCTCCCCAGCCCCGATTTTACACTTTAATGCTGACTAGGATTTATAATTTTCATCAAGGAGAGTAGGATAACAAAATAGAAAAAAAAAATCTAAGAATATTCATTGGATTTAGAAAAATGAAGATCACGGTTATTTTAGTATTACTATAATGCAGCAGTGGAGGCAGAAGCCAGAAATAGTGTAGGTTGAAAGGCTGACAGGGGAAGTGAGGAAATGAGATAAAATATTGATTAGCTTTTCAAAACTTTGGTTCTGGAGGAGACAGTAAAGATAGTAGCCAGAAGAAACAGGAGAAAAAGATGGGAATGATTCCTTGCTAAATGAGACGAGCCCACAGTTTAGAAATAACTAGAGTAAGCATATTTTTATTGTATAATAAATATATTCATATTTTATATCAATATTTAAATATTAAGGTTGAACTGGAATTACCTTAACAAACATAAAACTAAACATATATCTTCTATTTACATTTCTTCAACAGGAGGTAGATGAGTATGCTAAAGCAAATGCATAATACAATGACAACTCTTTCATCACTGTTTAAAGAAAAACGTATCAGTACAACTTTGCCTATTATACAGCTTATATACAATTGACATAGTGATTTTCTAGAAAATAGTATAAAAACCATGAAACTGTTCTATAGGAGTATTAAATATTCTATATTAATATACCTGTAAGCCTAGGACTCTAGGCTTACAGGTAAAAAATATCTCAGTAGAACAAATAATATATGCAGTTTCTTTGACTTAAGAGATCAAAGCTAAATGTCTCATGCCCATTTACATTTAAACTAGAAATGAAATAGTTAAATAAAAAAGGCAGATGAGTTTCTGAAGTAAAATGAGACAAACAAGAAAGGCTCTGATGGTGCCTGTTCAGTGTCATAGTGAAATAACTAGCAGAAGGCCAACTTCATGTATTTCTAATAAGTTGCTAATCGCTTTTTTTAAATGTCACTCTCATCTGTTCAAAAAGCTCAAGTTAAAAATTTTAAATTCCGTGTACTCTTTAATCAAGAAACTTTTAAAAAGGCAAGCCATAATTTAGTATAAAGGTAGCAATAAGTTGTACATAACATGTTGTATATGCTATTATATAATCTTCAAACTAATTCAGTATCTGGCACATTCCTGGTATAAGATCCAAGTTCTGGAAGGAGACATCAGGGCAGCACAATTTCTGGAGAAAAGTCTGTAGGGGCAGCAAGTTCCTAGCACAACAATTAAGTCCCTCCAGTAATATGCATGTTTTTTATTTATTTATTTTTATTTTAGGGAAGGGTCTACAGGGTGTTCAGGGTCTTACTACTAGATTAGGCTTGTAGTGATCTGCCTGTTTACAGTCTCCCAAGAGCTGAGAGTACAGGCACGCACCACCATACCCAGTCTCAACTGCTGTCTCAGTGTGCCCTGGGTGTGGGGCCAGCATGGCAGGCCCGGGGATCAAACCCCAGCCCCTGTGCCTGCTTGCAGGTGTTTTAATCTGATGAGTTATTTGACCAGCCCTGATGTGCATGTTAAAAACCTCCATGTCATAAATAACTAAGATTTTGGTCTTTTCCTTCATTCCAAAGAAACAAGTCTATGAGTGTAACAAAAACTATCAAACAACGGAAGAAACAGTCAGCAAAATTTTATTTATACAAAAATTCTAGCCAGGTGTGGTAATATACATCTATACTTTAATTCTAGCATCCAGGAATCTGAAGGAGGACTTTTGCAAGTTTGAGAGAGCCTGGACACATTGTGAGACTCTGCCTCAAAAGACACACATACACACACAAACGTGCGCGCACACACACACCACACACACAAATTTAATGGACAAATTGTAAAGCTGACTGTATGAATTTTGATGGAAATTATCATCAAACATCCTGCTCCGATACAATTTCTCTGAAAAACAAGTGATTCCAAGACCACATGTATATCAGACTTACACTAAGTATCTACAGAAGCTTTTTTAAAGGAAGAAGCTTAATATTAAAGTTCAAAGTCTATTACTTTTTAAAAGGAAATTTGGTGTAATAGCATTCTCTAAACCTTACCAGGATACAAAGTTTTGTTATCATCGACTATATAGTACAAGTTAGGTTTACAATGTCTTTTCCACCCAAAGTGAAGTCTATTATACTTATGTAGAAAGAATAATTACTTACTGCAATAATATCTAGTGTATTATCACAGACTTTTCGGATTTCATTATTTTTATCATGCATCAGATCTATGAGATATGCTGGAGCTTCTGCATACAAGTAGTTAAAGATAAAAACTGCATTTGAGACAGTAATTCTTCAATCATATTTGAAAATTCTAATTTCTTTAAATGCTAGATTGAAATTTAACTTAAAATTTAAAAATCATTAGTAGAAAATGACCAGAAAAATTTAAAATTTAGTATTTCATTTGTTAAAATAATGATAGAGGGGTTAAAAAAAGTCTAAACATTGGAAGTGGGTAAAGAAAACAAAATCAGAAAATCTCAAACAAGTAGTACACATATTCATACATAGTTTGAAAATAGAATAAAACTGAAGAGGGAGCTCTAGAACTATATAATTATAAGTACTTGTCCTATCTTTTCATCCTGAAAGTCCAAGGAAACATTGTTCTCTCTCTCATACACACACACACACATGAATCATAGTCAAAGTCCCATGGTTAGTATAAGGGAAAACAAAACAAAACCCTATAATAAAATATTTTTACATACTATGAATTCTAACATTTTAAAAGACAGAAAAAAAAAGTCATGAAGCAGCGATAGTTAAACCTTTTAGAGCTTTCATTAATAATAAATAGCCTGCTGTAGCAAGCAAATGTGCCATAGGTTTGCCACCACTACTATAGAATATGTATGAATAAATAACATACACCAGGAAACTCAGAAAAATAAAATAATTCAGAAAAGAAAGAAACAAACAAAAAAAGTAAAAGCAACCATAGCAGCTAAAGGGTGAATATTTCACACAGAAAAATAGGTTAAGGTCAGTTGTTTAGAACTATGAAGATGGGGCAAAATAATTTAGACTATTCATATAGGTAATAAAGGATTTTATGCAGTGGAGGAGGAAGTAGCTTTTAAAAATTATATACAATAAGCAACAGTTAAAAACAAATACCAAATCAGCTGAATACTACTGCTATGTCCCCACATCTTTGTGACCTGATTACAGGCCTTACATTTCTCATTTACTTGCCTATCTCAATTAGACTTGTTCTGACAACAAAGACCTATTATACACATCAGTACCTGTTAATTAAGTGGTCAAAACTTCATAAATGTGTTCAGAGGAAATGATTATGTATAGTAGGAGATATCATGTACTAACAGCTTAAGAGACTGTGTGGATAATACTGATATTATCCACAACAAATACAGAAGGCAGAATCATTCTGTTTCTCAAGAGGATGATACTGCCTACTGTGCCCTCTGGATGTAGTGTACTACCACTTACTGAGTCCTTTTAGTGTTTTTAACAGTAAGCACTTTAAATCCACTAATATTTTAACCAGCCGAAGTAGGTGGTCTTATTTAGTGTTATATTCATTTTATAGATGTAAGAACAGTGCGAAAGAAGTTACACACACATTTTTTGAGGTCCTTGCAGCTAAGTGGCAAAAGGTAACTTAAAATTCAGGTCATTTGCATTTGAGAATATAGCTAAGTGGTTGAGCACTTGCCCATAAAAAAAAAAAAAAAAAAAAAAAAAAAAAAATTAGGACTGTTTAATTATAATGCACTTAGTGTCTACTGTGCAATACTTCTTGAGGTAGAAGGCATGTGGGGAGCTGTTAGCAACAAATGTCTACTATATGGCAGATAGTACCTAAATATAGTTGGTAGCTGAAGTCATGAGAACAGATGTGATTTCTCCAATGCAGAATCAATAAGATTAGATGAGGCCCAAAGACAGCCCTCAAGACCTCTGACATTTATGTTAATAAAAGGGAATTTTGATAGGATTAAGTTCCTGACAAGTTAAAAAAATTGTTCTTAGCATAGTCTACCTCTTAAAAGATTGACTCTTTATCTCAAAGAGTTTCAGATTTTTATGATGCTAATTCCACACATAATGGGCTATGTTACAATGGGACCCACATCTAAATGTGAAATTCACTTACCCATAATATATGACTGATATTCATTGCATTGAGATAATTTTCTTCAGTAGTTTTAGTGCACCTATGTTTTGACTATGATTTTTATATGAAGTAGAATTTTCCACTTGTGGCATCATGTCAACACATAAAATGTATTAGCTTTTGGAGCATGTTTGAATTCAGATTTTTGTGTTGGGGATGTTCAACCTGCCCTAAATTAGGGTAAATAGCTTCCATGGAAAATAGACAATCTTATAAATTTATTTTGAAGTGTAGTGTTTTTTTACAGTATTTGAACACTATAAGAAAAGCAAAAGAGGCCTATTTTTAGTATACAGTGAAAGGATACGTGTTTCCTTGATTATGACATCTCTTGTGGCTTGGTGGAAAACCATCTGGTAGAAGACATAAATTATCTGACACACAAATTCATCATCTTCTTGTTGAGCTGAAAGAAAACAAAGACTTTACATGAAAGAATATGTATATCAAAAAACAATATGACAGAGAATGAGAAAAATGAAAAATAACAGGGAGATAGGATAACTATTTTAAATTAAATACATGAGTAAAACACCATCTATTTCTAGATATTTCTCATAAGTGACATCACAATGTCCCATAAGGACACTTTATAATATATTTTCAGAAAATTTTATTAATCTGGAAAACAAAAACAAATGCAGATTTTTTTTTTTTTTTAACAGAACCGGGGATTGAACTCAGATCCTTGCGCTTATTCTACTGAAGAAATGCAGATTTTGAAAAAGAGAAGTTAAATTATGTTTGAGATTAAACCAAGCTACTTAAGAAAGCTATCTTAAAAGATTAGGTCACACCTTAAAGAAATGAAGGGAAAGACAGGTTTGAGAGATACAAACTGTGACCTTTACTATCTTTTGTCAACACATGTGAAAACTGATTAAATTAAATTCTATGTTCCTAATGTGAAATTAGGAACAACACTTATTACCACTTGTTAAAAGGTTACTCTGGGGGCTGGTGAGATGGCTCAGTGGTCTAAAGCACCTACTTAGAACAAGCTTAGCAAAGCACAGGGACCGCGGTTCAATCCCCCAGCACCACATGCCAGCCAGCCCCGCCCCCTGGTGGGCTGAGCTGGCCACACACACACACACACACACACACACACACACACATAAATAAATAAATTTAAAAAAAAAAAAGGTTACTCTGTTCTCACTTGCACACTGGGTCACCCTCATGTTATAGAATATATTCCTTTTTCCTACTTTTACTTGGCCTAAACTTTCTCTGCAAAGGTTGTTTCTTTTTCTATCTTTAATGAAACTTGGCTATCTTAAAAAAAAGAAAAAGCTCACACCTTCAAAATTCTAAGATGTTGATAGACACTAGATTGTTATAAAAAGGGATTTCATTTTGTTGAATAATGTTCAGAAAATTAAACTTCATATATTATCATGAAATAAGTAGTGTCACTCTATAATGTGAAAAGAGTGGTATACAATTATAAAGGCTAACTGACAGAAGTTTAATATACAAAGAATAATTTAGCAGACCAGCTGATATCTATTGACTAACATAAGGAAGGGTTTAAGCACAAAAACTATAGGTATTTAACTTTAGGTCTGTGTTATAAAATTTGATTTACTAATAGGGTAGTTTGCTACAAATTCTAGTTGGATCTTCTGGTCTACATAGGTGTGTGGAATAAATATTGTGGGCTCCTGGAAGTTCAATCTGTCGCAAATGATTTCTCTAAGTTCCTAAAACCAGTTTGGCTCACGATGTTAATATTACTCTCTTATACTCAGTGCTTCCTCGTTCACACAGCTATAATTATTTTTTCAATATTAAACATACATGTATTTCTTAAAAGCAATATTATACTGCCTCTGCTTGTGGTCATCTCACATCAGATAACATTACAACATAGTAAAATATACTGGCTGTTTGTTCACTTTGCAAACAGCTCTCTCAATGTAATCATGGTGTGCCAACAATTCTTGAGTTTCATGTTATTTTGCTTCAACTTTCTCCAACTCTCCAGAAATGTTCATTCTTATTCTTTGAACTATATTTCACTGAACTTTTAAGTCCCCAACTCTCTAGGATCTCTTTTAATTATTTCTAATAGTATAAACAGCAATGATAATGAAGAAACTTCTATATAACATATATTATAGATTAATTTCATAAATATAATGTAATGTAGGACAAAATAAATCAGATTCCATTCTAGTCTTGCTTTAAACCCAACCAAAGCTACCATATCAGTAATAAAAAGAGAAATCATTTTGGAGGAAACAGCAATGACTGGGTGAGGGGAAGATACACTTCTAGGATACTGGTAGTATTTTATTTCTGTATGTATCTACTGTAATGAATGTGTTCACTTGAAAATTCATTGAAGTTTCTATAATTTTGTATTTTTTTATGCTATACTTTAAAAAGTCTACTCAAATTAATATAAAATGCATATATATTTTGCCTAGTATAGGAAAGACTGAGACTTAGGAAGAGCTGTGTATATTTTTAGGTATATCATATTAACATTTAAAATTTTCATATTAGCTGCTTTTAATGTACAAGATAATGGAGAATAGGGATCAAATATTTGATTAAGATAAGTTTTTTTATGCAGTACCAAGGAGTACAGCAAGCCCTGGGCCCTAAGAGTGATACAAAAGTAATGGGAAGACTATGCCTGCACTGTCCAATATATGGCCATAAGCCATTCTAGCTAATTTCAGTTAAATTAAAAATTCAGGTTCTCAGTCTAACAGCCACATGTTCAACAGCTACATGAACTGGTTAGTATAAAAGAGAAAAATTATCATTACTGCAGGAAGTTTAGAGGACAGTCTCTCTGGATGTAGAAAGGATTATGTTTACAAATGACTTCCAAATGAGCTTTCCTATTAGAATAAAAGTATAAAAAGGTTTGTACAAGAAATCTAACTCTCGGTAACACAAAGCTGGATAGAAAGGAAAAAATGATAGAATATTAGTTATTTAAGGCCAAGAAGAGGAGGTCAGTGTCTATAAACAGATGCTGAACTGCTTTATAGGAACATTCTTAACTTTGAAATCAAAGCTCTTTGATAATATTTTAGCTAATTCCAGTTAGTAGTGTATTTAGTTCATTTTTATGAACAGCAGTTAAGTTGCTATGATTATGTAACAAGTTTAAACACTATTTCATACTGCAAACTCTACCATTTATGTCTGAAAATTTTAACTATTAATCTGTTTAGACATTAGCATGAAAATAAATCATCATTACCATTTAACAATTCAATAAGGGCAGGGATTATTCCAGATTTAGCTAACAATGCTGCACAAGAATCATCCATAGATACAGTTCCAATCATTATAACCACTTCTAAAACAAGGTCATCTTCTGCAGCACCTAGGAAAGTCAAGCCATAGAAAAATTTCATTGAAATGTTCTGATCCAAGTACACTTATAGTCCCAAAATTCTAATAAACAGCAAAAAATACTGAAAGCTATTATATCAGGCCCAATGCATCCTTGTAAGTTTATAAATTTATCGTTTTTCCACATTTTCCACGTTTACTGATGATAGTTTGTGGCAGTGGGACAATAGAAAGGTGGAAATACAACTTTGAAAATTAAACTGAATGATAATGTAAACAGAAAATAAGACTTATTTAACTACCTCAAAAAACTTTGTGAATATTTATGGGGGAGTATAAATAAAGTATATATAACATTTCCTTTACTAATTTCTTTATTTGGTAATTTAAAAATTTACAGGATTATAAAGATTGTAAAATAACAGGAAAGGTATGAATGGGAAGGGAAACTACTATTAAGAAAATATATTGTTAGTAAAAAGAAGAGAACACACATGTTAAGAGTGTACCTACCGACTACATTCTGGGAGAACACAGCTGTAGGAAGAATTTGATTTGCGTGGTTTAACAGGAGTCACAAACCACTGCTCTAGGAGCCTTACCCACAATAGAAAATAATTTAGTGATTACACAGAAGTAACATGCTTAGCACACACCTGGTTTTAGTTTATCCTTGAGGTATGGAACCAACTTATACTCTTTAAGAACTAGTTCCCAGTCTAAGTCTGTAATAGTCAAATTTGCCAGAGTTCCCAAACATTCTATCACAAACTCTTCTTCTTCATCATTAGAGATCTGGGCTGCAAGGTCTCCAACATAATCCTAATAAAACAATTTTAGTACAAAGTTAAAGTATTGATGAGATGAACCAAGCTTATAATGTGATAAGCAGAAAAATAATTATCAAGTAGACCCTTGTGCTACAAATCTTGAGGTACGTTGCTGAGGGAGCTGGTGGTGAACTAGTTTAAGGCAAGACTGCAGTGAGCATGGAGGTGTCAGGCACAGAGATCACAAAATAATATCAACATCAAAAAGTAGACTGGGATTTCTAAGAGCTAACTTTATAAAGAAAAAATTTCTAACAGAAGAGCTAATTTGTTTTTTATTTTCAATTTTCTATTTATTTGCTTTTTGGGTTATATTTCTTTATAATATTTTAGTCTTTGCTCGGGGTTTCCAGAATACATGGTCAAATCTTTCAGTCTTATTTAGAGGTAATATTTCATCACTTCAAAGAAAATGTATTTGATTCCCTGTACAAAAAAAAAGAAATGTATAGTTCTGTCCTTTAGTGTTATGGATTCCTTTACTCTCCCACATTTATGTTTTGTCTTGTATACTGTTTTCTTCAAAGAACCTTATCATATATGTATATTAAAAACTACCAAATAAGGTTTTAATCTTTCCTTTAAGTAATCCTAGTTTTTAAATAATTTTATTGAGAAACAAATAGTAATGAGACAGTTTCAAAAACGATTAGTAGGACAGTTTCAATAATAAATACATCACATATTATTGTCTTAGTGGTTATTCATTGTACAAGATGAAGACATGATATCCTGTCCAAAAGTACTATCAGAACAAATCTTTTTATTCATTGAATTAAGAGAATGTAGCTGTATAGCCTAACTATTTTGAATATACAGATAAATGGTCATTCACTTTTACCTCCTTTTTTGTTTAGTTTTGTCAGAGAAGGGTATTCTATTGTCATTTAAATATCGTAGGTGCATGAAATCAGCAAAATAATCCAATATACTCCAGTAGTCTATAATAGTATTGGGTTATCCATAGGACTGGCAATGTCAGAAGTTGTTGACTTGAGCCTTTTACAGCTCACCATATTAATATGGCTTTACTTTTTATACTTTGCTTTCATAGTTTTCTGCTGGATGGTTAAGACCAAGATAAAGCAAGACCTATAAAACAAGAAATGTAACTTTTGTATCTAATAAGATCAGTCAAGTCCCCTCAGGATTTGTCCTGTAACCCTGTACTGCAGTTTGTAGATCCTTTGTCAGTGTCAGCCATACGGATGAGTCACAGACATTGCTTGACCAATTTGCTCTCTGTGAAAGCCTGAGAGAATGTTTTCTCTCCATGTGACTCTTCTTAGGCACACTCTATATCATCGATCACATTCCTCTGTGGTCCCATAATCTCCTTGATCAGAAAATTTGGGACACAAGTGAGTTACATGATGTTACAGTACAGGTTCTCCTATTTCCTGAGTAGAAGAGCCAATCTGGTATACAAATGTTTGATGAAAGCTTAGCAACAGTTATATACCCATTCATAGTCCATTTTAATAGACAGAAGGCCAAAAATACTTACAATAAACAAATTTTTGGTTGGTCCATCATGCTGGGAAATATTTCTAATCATTTTCATCAGCAATGGATCTTTGAACTTCAGAGCCCTTTTCATGAGCATCTTCAGCCCATTTCCTAGAAGAAAACAGAAAAATTTTCACTAAATCTTAGGTTTCTTCAAGTCTCATCGTTTTGTCAATATAAAACATTTATTCCTGGTACTAAATGCACAAACTTAAATGTACAATCTGATTAACTTACATGCCTGTATCTCCAAAACCCGTATCAACAGAGTATCTCCATTCACCATAGAAAGTTTGCCTCTGTTAATCCTATTCCTAAAATACAATCATTTTTGTTTTCCTATTTCCTCTTTTCGAATATAGATTATCTCTGTGTGATACAGATCTTCATATTAATAGACTCAAACACTTGGTGCCTTTTTGTGTCTGCATTATACACTATGAATTTTTAAAAACACTATGAAACCAGAAAAACTGGACTTCTAGGAATTTTTTATAAGAATATATAACTAGAAATACATAAAGATGCAGAGAAGGGATAATCAGTATAGCACTGTTTGTAAAAAAAAAAAAAAAGAAACGGTAACAAACTTAAAATGGTAACTCTTAGCATATGGTCACATGATATATGATATATCCACTGTCTTACAAATGACTCCAATTTATTCTTCTTTATGGCTGAGTGGTACTCCAAAGTGTGTATATATAACATTTCCTTTACTCATTCTGCTGTTGGACATGTATTTTGTTTTTGAGATTTACCTGCTACAAACATGGGTATATGCATGTATTATTGTAACAGACCCCATTAAAACATCTTTTTAAATATTTGTTTTCAAGTTTTTGTTAGTGTATTTTTGATATACACAATGAATAAATTCTTAGGAAGTTGCTACGTATACATAGCATATCTCTACCCGTTTTTATTTTCTATTCTCTTCTTTCTTTCATTCATTCCTAGATTCTGTTCCCATCTGAAATATGTCTACCTCCATTTTCTATCATCTAATTTTTATTTTGCTCTTTATCCTTTGTGTTTCTCATATAAGAGAAACCATGTAATATGCAACTTTCTGTACCTGACTCATTTTGGTCTCAAGGTTATCACTCTAAAAACTGATTTTAACTCTCTGAGGATGATATCCAGAAGAGGTATAGCTGGGTCAAGTGGAATTTCTATTGCTAGCTTTTTAGGAATCTCCATACTGATTGCTATAGTACTTATTCTAGTTTAACATTCCCATGAACTGTGCAAAGAGTTCCTTTTTTCCCAAAACCTCACCAGTATGTTATTTCTTGAGTCCTTCATGATATTTCTTGAGTCCTTCCATCCTTTCTGGATAAGGTGGAATCTTAGTGTTGCTTTGATTTGCATGTCTCTAATGCCAAAGATGCGGAACACTTTTTCCCCAATGCAATTGGTCATTTAGGCTTTTTTCCATGTGATCTATTTTAACTGCCCATAGTGGTTTTTATTTTGATTACCTAATTTTTGGAGTTTTTATAAAATCTAGATATAGGATTATATCCAAGGAGTAGCTAGAAATTTTTTCTCCTATTCTGTAGATTGTACCTTTATTCTGTTGTTTGCTGTGCAGAGCTTTTTCATTTGATATAATCTCACTGGTTGTCAATTATTTTTTGTGCAAATGAGTTCTGTTCAGAAAGTCCTTGTTTACACTGTCTTTAAAGAGTTTTACCTATATTGTCATTTAGCAGATTCAGTATTTCTCTTTTCATATCTAGGTTATTGATTCCTTTTGATTTTATTTTAGTCCAGAATCAGAGATATAGGTCAATATTTATTCTACATATAGATAAAGTTTTCCTTACACCATTTTTTTAAAAAAGCCTATCTTTTCTTTAATGCATGTGTTTGGTTCCTTTGTTCCATTGTCCCTCATTTCTATTTTTGTGCCAGTACTATGTCTGTTTTTGTGCTTTTTTTTTTTTTACTGTATTTAGTACAGGGTCTATAGGATCTTGCTACGTAGATTGGACTCCTAGTGATTCTCCTTTTTTCAGCCAAGCACTGAGATTGCAGGCAAGCACCACCACGCCCAGTCTCAATCACTGTCTCAGCAGGCAGTGGGGGCGGGGCCGGCACAGCACACTGGGGATTGAACCCTGGCCCCTGTGCTTTGCCTAAGCAGGTGCTTTAGTCCGCTGAGCTATCTGGCTGGCCCTGTTATTGTGCTGTTTTGATCACTGTAGGATAAGTTGAAATCTGGTATTGTAACACTTTCTGCTGTGTTCTTGTTGTTCAGGATTGCTTTTGCTATTCTGGGTCTCCTTCTGTTCCATATAAATCTACATGCTTTTTAATAGTATGGCCATTTTGACAATTACTGGTTCTACATATCTAGAAACAGCAGTTTTTCCATTTTGTAATGACCTTTTAGTTTTTTTTTTTTTTTTTTCTTTCCAGTATACAATAGTTTTCATTATAGAGGTCTTTCATTTCCTTGGTTAGGTTAATTCATATCTATCTATCTATCTATCTATCTATCTATCTATCTATATCTATTAATGGGATTATTTTCCTGATGTCTTTCTCAGTGGATTCATTATTGGTGCACAGGAACACTATTCATTTTTGTCTACTGATTTTTTAATCCTGATACCTTGCTGCATTTGTTTTTTAAAGAGTCCCAGGAGTCTTCTGGGGGAGGTTTTTTCTTTTGTAATACTGGAGATTGAACTCCTGACCTAAGCGCTTATTCTACTGGGCTATCTCCCTGGCCCCTGCTGGAGGTTTTTGAGTCTCACATATAATGGAATATGTCATCTACAAATAAGGACAGTCTGAATTCTTCCTTTCTTATTGAAATCATTTTGTTTTTCTTGCCTTACTGCTCTTAATGAAGTTTTAAATACTACACTGAAGAAGAGTGGTGATGGTGGACATCTTTGTCTTGTTCCTGATTTTAGAGGCATTCCCTTCAGGTTTTCTACATTTAGTATGATGGTGGAGGTAAATCTGTCATGAACAGCTTTTATCAATTTGAGGTAAAGTTCTTCTATACCTGGAATATATGTTATTGTAGTTTCTTATAAGCCCCTGGATTTCAGTGATGTCTGATACTATTTTCGCCTTTTTTTATTTCTAATGAGTTGATACAGTCCTTTTTTCTTTCCTTTTTTTGGTTAATTTTGCTAGGAATTTATCAGTCTTGTTTACCCTTTTAAAGAACCAACTACCGTTCATTGCTCTTTTTTTTGGTCTCAGATTCATTAATTTCCATTCTAATCTTTTTAATTTTTTTCCTGTTACTACTTTAGGATTTGAATTATTCTTGTTTTTCTACGAGTTAAAGAGATAAATCCATGGGTTATTCACTTGGGACATCTCTTCTTTTTACATGTGTATTTACAGAGTTATAAACCTCTCTCTTAGAACTGTTGTGACCCATAGGTTCTGGTATATTGTATGTATTTCCATTGTCATATGATCCTATGAACTTTTCATTTCTTCTTTGATTTCTTCTGTGATCCACTGGTTGTTCAATAATTTATAATTTAATCTCCATTATCTGCATAGTTTCTGTTGTGTCTTTTGGTGTTAATTTACAGTTTCTTTCAGTAGATCTGGTATAATACATGGGATTATTTTAGTTCTTTTGTAATGTATTTAAGCACATTATCTATGGCTTATGATATGATCTATGTTGGAAAAGTTCTGTGTGCTGCTGAGCAAAACGTGTTCTGCTGTTGGATGAAACACCTGAAGATATTAATATATAGGATTATATCCAAGGAGTAGCTAGAAATTTTTTCTCCTATTCTGTAGATTGTACCTTTATTCTGTTGTTTGCTGTGCAGAGCTTTTTCATTTGATATAATCTCACTGGTTGTCAATTATTTTTTGTGCAAATGAGTTCTGTTCAGAAAGTCCTTGTTTACACTGTCTTTAAAGAGTTTTACCTATATTGTCATTTAGCAGATTCAGTATTTCTCTTTTCATATCTAGGTTATTGATTCCTTTTGATTTTATTTTAGTCCAGAATCAGAGATATAGGTCAATATTTATTCTACATATAGATAAAGTTTTCCTTACACCATTTTTTTAAAAAAGCCTATCTTTTCTTTAATGCATGTGTTTGGTTCCTTTGTTCCATTGTCCCTCATTTCTATTTTTGTGCCAGTACTATGTCTGTTTTTGTGCTTTTTTTTTTTTTACTGTATTTAGTACAGGGTCTATAGGATCTTGCTACGTAGATTGGACTCCTAGTGATTCTCCTTTTTTCAGCCAAGCACTGAGATTGCAGGCAAGCACCACCACGCCCAGTCTCAATCACTGTCTCAGCAGGCAGTGGGGGCGGGGCCGGCACAGCACACTGGGGATTGAACCCTGGCCCCTGTGCTTTGCCTAAGCAGGTGCTTTAGTCCGCTGAGCTATCTGGCTGGCCCTGTTATTGTGCTGTTTTGATCACTGTAGGATAAGTTGAAATCTGGTATTGTAACACTTTCTGCTGTGTTCTTGTTGTTCAGGATTGCTTTTGCTATTCTGGGTCTCCTTCTGTTCCATATAAATCTACATGCTTTTTAATAGTATGGCCATTTTGACAATTACTGGTTCTACATATCTAGAAACAGCAGTTTTTCCATTTTGTAATGACCTTTTAGTTTTTTTTTTTTTTTTTTCTTTCCAGTATACAATAGTTTTCATTATAGAGGTCTTTCATTTCCTTGGTTAGGTTAATTCATATCTATCTATCTATCTATCTATC